CTTATAGTAATGTAATGGCTTAAAAGGGAAATATAAGAATTTACTAAATGTGATATAATACAAAAAGGATGTTAGCACAATTATACTTGGGGAAAGTTTTCACCTTATAGTAATATAATGTCTTAAAAGGGAAAAATAAGGATTTACTAAATGAGATATAATACAAAAAGGATGTTAGCACAATACTTGGGGAAAGTTTTCACCTCATAGTAATATAATGTCTTAAAAGTGAAATATATATAAGAATTTACTAAATGAGATATGATATGAAAAGGATGTTATCATATTACTTGGGGAGGTTTTCATCTTATAATTTAATATAATGTCTGAAAAGGGAAATGTAAGAATTTACTATGAGATATAGTTTTAAAAAAAAAGGATGTTGTCACATTACTTGGGGAAAGTTTTCTTCTGATAGTAGCATAATATTTTAAATAGAAAATATAAGAATTGAACTAAATGAGATGTAATACAAAGAGGATATGTTAGCAAATTACTTGGGGAAAGTTTTCACCTTATAGTAATATAATGTCTTAAAAGGGAAATATAAGAATTTACTAAATGTGATATAATACAAAAAGGATGTTAGCACAATACTTGGGGAAAGTTTTCACCTTATAGTAATATAATGTCTTAAAAGGGAAAAATAAGAATTTACTAAATGAGATATAATACAAAAAGGATGTTAGCACAATACTTGGGGAAAGTTTTCACATTATAGTAATATAATGTCTTAAAAGGGAAAAATAAGAATTTACTAAATGAGATATAATACAAAAAGGATGTTAGCACAATACTTGGGGAAAGTTTTCACCTTATAGTAATATAATGTCTTAAAAGGGAAAAAGGGAAAAATAAGAATTTACTAAATGAGATATAATACAAAAAGGATGTTAGCACAATACTTGGGGAAAGTTTTCACCTTATAGTAATATAATGTCTTAAAAGGGAAATATAAGAATTTACAAAATGAGATATACTGTAATATAAGAAGGATGTTATCACATTACTTGGTGGAGATTTCATCTTATAATTTAATATAATGTCTGAAAGGTAAAAGTAATGATTTACTATGAGATACGGTATAATACAAAAAGGATTCAATTCAATTCAAATGTATTTGAGTATAATTCAACACATTACAAATAACAAAACAATGAACAATAAAAAGATAATGAGTAAAACATTTACAGCTCAGGATAACCCAAAAGAACCGAATCGGTCTATTTCCGTTGGGACCTTTGAATAAAAAAATACATAAAACTTGGTTAAAAACTAAAACAAACACTGAAAATTTATTACAACCTTTAAAATTACTAATAAAAGTAAAATAAAAGAAATAAAACCTATTAAACCTTAAAAGTATGCAAAAGTGAATGTGAAAAAACAGGTAAAAAAAAACATTAAAATTTATGTGAGCGATTCAACATTTTTTATTACATTGCCATCACATATGATAGTTAAGTCTGTTATTTTTCAGTTTCCTTTTTGTACCAAACAATATAGCTTCTGTTTTTCCTAAATGTAGCGACAATTTGTTTTCAATAAGCCAATCATGAGGTTCCATCCTCCTTTACCAAAATTTGCTTCTTGCAACCAGGGTGTAGTGTCCTTGAGCTAATTACAATCCATTTCTGATAATTTAGATTTAAAGTTGTCTATGTACTGTTGTAGTTTTTTAAAGATCTAATTTTGACCATTTTGTGTAAATTTATAGGTTCTGTTTATTTTACGTGTACAAAAAATTATATACTAAACCCTGTTTCTATTGTACTAAAATCGGAGATAGTAGGCATGTGGTTACAAATTATGTGATCAATTATGCTACTGGTTGTACAAGTAATTCTTGTTGGTTTGTCAATAATTTGTTTACATTTGAACATAGAAAAAATGATAATTATTTTTCTATCATTTTCATCATTTCTATCATTCGATCTGGTTAATTTAAGTAGTTAGAACATTTAAAGCCTCATTCCCGGCAAAATTTCACTAAAAACTGACTTTTTTTAGAAAATATGCATTTGCATTACTCTAATTATTATAAATCATGGAAAAATATTGGCATGAATTTTAGTTTTACGCAAAAGAATAAAAAAAATGAGAACTACAGCCTATTTCTCATAAAATATTACCAGTTTCTCGACGAATTTATCGTTACTAGACAAATTCAGAGGTTGTAGATCGCATCCACCGGAATACTCTCGCTTTTATGTATACTTTATACAGTCAATAAAGTGTGCCCTCGCTAATGAGATTAGTTTTTTTACTTCGCATCTTGCACAATGCGGTCGTTCGGTTAGGCTGAGATATGTTTGAGTGTCAAAATCTCAGTCAGAATCTGTTTTTTAACAAATTTGAAATAATTCCTGTGAAATATTATATTCATAAGTGTAAATACTAGCAACGGAAAATATCATGTCGGCCATTTTTATGTGTGATAACAGAACCTAACTCGAGGTAAGGCTAGGCCTAGCCTAGCAGCGTTGGATAGGCTAATGTTTTCGGCGCCTACGATATTTCTTCTCACGACCTATCGCAAAATCAACATGAAAAATTCATCCGCATTTATTTTTTGTGTGGAACACAAAAAATCAAATTTCAGTCTTATTTTACATTTTTTTCATTCTTAGGAATGTCTAAATTCAGTTAAACTGGCAATTCCGTATTATATTTATAAATCTTTATAACATTATACAAAAATTAGATTTTTCTTAAAAACTGAAATTTTGCCGGTAATTTAATTTACTACCTTATATTCATATTATTTTCTCATGATATTTTTAAAATGTTCAACTTTTGATAATTAAGTACTTCAAAGCTATAGGTAGGCTAGGCTAGCCTAGGTCCTAGGTCTTGTCTAGGCCTAAGTAGCCTAGCCCAGCCTAAGCAAGATTTATTTCCATTGGGGGTGAGTGACTTGAGACCTAAAGATTTAACAGATGCATTGGTTTGATTGATTTTTGGGCCCTTTGTTAAATACTAAAAAGCCAAAGTTATAACCAGGGAGATGTAAAACATGCTCATCTGTCCCTGTTATAACCAGAGTCGATTTTGCAGCATGGGTGATTTTTTTTTATTTATTTATTCAACAATATTTTGAGAGGTTATAGCTCAAACAGCAGTGCTACAGAAATTATGAAATTGCAAAACTTCAAATTTAATTGTCGCTAATAAATATTTTAAAACAAAATTTTTTCCTGTCGGTGGGCTAGTAAAATATTATGTGGGCTTGAAAATCTCTAGTAAACTAGCCCAGTGGGCTAGTTACCAAAAACAGTTAGGGCAAGCCCTGAGAACATACATTATCTAGGCCCTAGGCTAGGACTAGCATTGCTCTGTGTCACTCTGCTACGTATACTACCGCATAACAAAGAAAGCGACCCACACAGTGCTTTCTTAAATTTTACACACATTATTCAAATGTATTTTATGTACTGTATTAGACGATAACACAATATCATTGATTAAACTATTATTAAAAATCTAACCGTTTAAAGTTAAAGGGTATTTTGAATCTAATGTGGAATTACTGTTCAAAACTAAATATAGAGTTTATTTCACTTTTTTTTTAGTATAAATAAAAGTATTTTATCCACCTAATGTGATTTATAATCTTAAGCTCAGTACGATATTTTTAAGTTAATGAGAATTTTTTAAAAATAACATAAGTAAATTAATTTCTTTTCTCTAAATGTGATAAAATATTATTATTTTATTTCTTTACAGAATACAGTATTCTCATATTTCCCTCTAGGGGAATAATATTTCTATAAGGAGAAAACAATTTCACATGTAACTTCCAATGCAATTGTACATTATATAATATATATATCCCTTTATGGACATTACATTACTTCTTTATATATTATATTTAACTTCTACATAATCCTCATAAATATTACCATCTAATTATTATTATAAAAAGAATATGTAGCCCTGATATATATTTTTGTTTCAAACTTGTTCATAAAATTAATCTGTCTGGCCTAGCCTAATAATGCTGTAGGAAATTTTAGGATTATTGTTTCTTCTCCGATAATCGCACACTTATACCCGATTCACACGTACAAAAATCTTACCAATATGTAACAAAATGTAACCGTGTGATATCCTTGTAAAATCTCGGAACATCTCGGTAATCTTTACCAGCCTCGCTGAGGCTGGTAAAGCTTCTAAGATGTAGCATGGATGGATCTGCGCATGCGCAGGAATATCAACACAACAATCTACTGTGTTTCGCTGGGTTCTTCGAAGTTTCTTCCTACTGCAGACGATTCCAATCCACTAGAAACAGATAGGCCTAGTTTTTCTCAATGGATGAATTACCCTTGTTATCGATGTTAATTACTGTAGTAATGATAGAAGAACAAGATATACATAAATGAACGTCGGGATGGTGTTAGTACTATTACTCTGTATTATCAGGAGTCGACAGAAATGTCAGAAGCTAGGCCTAGTTTAGTAGTAGCTAGTAGTACAGCAGTTGTTAAGGGCATTGATTGCTTCGAATGTCTACTGGGATTGTGAGTTCAACAGTCTATCTGTGACAGGGGTTCTCAACTAGGCCTAGGCTAGGTAGGCCTATATCGCAGTAGGGAAAAAAATGATTCATTGTATAAACACTAAATAAATTTTACACGACCTTGGCATTACCTTACAAACGCGTGTGAATGCTTTATATCTTGGTAGGAATAACTCGGGAGATGGCTCGGTTACAATTTGTTGCCTTTTGTTGAATTTAACTTCACGTGTGAATCGGGTATAAGCCATAACATACTTAACTTCAAACATTACTTCTGAAATTGTGTGCTCTTTTCAAATAGGTACATTAAATACATGCAGTAAAGACATACAGACCTTTCAAACTGTTGCTCGAGATGTATTATTATTATAAGTGTTACTGGTGTCATACAAATTTTATTTCTGATTTGTATTGTATAAATTTTTTAAAATCATAATTAATGTCTTGAATTCTGAATACATTATTTTGGATGACTTACCAGTAGTTAACTTCATGATGTCTATAAAAATAGACATAATCTCGTTTTGGGGATTCCTCTGGTATTTCTTGATCACATTCTGATTGTGTCATTCTCCTTCCCCTGTACTCAATAATAAATTCTCCTTTGTCAAATTGTCTTTTTGCAAAGAGCCCATAACCTATAAAATGCAATTGGCAATCATAATACAAGGAACTTTTCAATTAAATTGTTGATACTGGCCTATTATATAGAAGAGTGTGTTAGTTGCATATAGAATATGTAAACAGCCACAAAATACCAATATGGTAACAAGCATGAACATTTAAAACTATATACTGTATATTTTTAATGCACACTTGGTAAATTTAAATAATTAGGCTGTCTAGTGTCAGGGATTTAGTCCCATACTGTACGTAAAATCAAAGTTCCACTGTATTTACTTAACCAAAGCATTAGTTTTTCTCTTTTTTTTGGTGTTAGTCATGATAAACTATGAATTTTTTGGATAACATACCAATGTAACTATTTATATGTTTCTTCTCCACCCATGGTGGGTCCTGACCCTTCCGTACCCAATATTCAGCTCTTATTTCAGTAGCAATTTGTCTACATGTCCTCTGAAATAGTTAGAAGTCTCTGTTAAAGTTGATGATAAAGATAAAAACTTGTGATTATGTTTTAAGACAAAAAGAGCAAAACAGTTAGTGTCAGTTGTCTACATGTGTAACTTTAGATGTCAAAAAGATTAGAGTGGGCCAAAATATAATTAATAAAAGGTTATAGGTTAAAGCTTTCCAAATTGGTAATTTAGAAATAAATTGCATGGTAATTTAGAACTAAATTGTATAGTAATTTTGAAAGAAAACAAGTTATTACTTTTTTATTGTGGATCACAACTGTTGTTAAAAACAAACCTAATTATCCTGATTACAGTAGAACAAAATATAACTTAAAAGTAAATAGTGTTATTTTTAAAATTTTCAGTTAATGTTAACAAACTGTACAGGAAACTTTTCAATTTCAAAAATCAAACTTCATAAAATGATTTACTGTGGATTACCATGATTCTAATAAAAATATATAAACCACGGTATAAACAATTGCTAAATCATTGATAAAATTCTCTGCCAGTTTCTATGCATAATGACAATATGAATTGAAGTAAAATTACAAACATCTGTGGAAACTATATTTAATAATCAACAGAACTTTAACATTTACACCTACAAATGAATATCGCCTTTTCATTGTACTTGTTCCTGCAAATATCGAAAATAAAGTGAAGAATATAGTCAAGCATCGCCTAAGGCTACTTAAGTATGTAAATAATGTTTTAGTATATATATTAGCACAGGTCTCACTTAAATTTAAGACCACTTTTGGGACCAAGGTTTTTGATGGTCATTATCAGCTTTTGTCTCTAATTTAAAATAATATAAATAAAAGGCATTTGTTAATTTGGGACCACAGAAAAGTAGTCTTCAATTGGAAGGGGTCTTTAATTTGAGAAGTCTTTAATTAGATGGAGACTTGTAGTTTAGTACAGTGTCTACAATAGTACGTTAGTTGGGTTTAAACTATTAATTTCTATGTTCTACCTTGTTATTTATATTTTGTTATGTACTTTTGTATAATCTGTATGGACGCACAACACGGGATGTGTGCCACTGATTTAAAGTTGGAGGAAAATTATACTAAAAGAAAGCACATGGGGATGATAATTTTGCTTAATTATTAAAGTACTGCATACCTTAAAATTGATGTGTGTAACTGACTTTTTTTTTACCTCCGAACAAATCAAAATCTATTAAAAAAATAACAATAACAGATCTGTTAAGAATTATTTTAGTCCAATACACTACAACTACAATAACTACAGCGAAGCTTACCTCAAATGGAACATTGAGTACCTTCAGATCCAGTCACACTCATATTTCACTCTATTGTTAATTTATCATGTTTTCACAGCCAATTATTTCTTTCCAATCTAGTCACTTGTCAATTGTAACTCGGGCCTACCTGCACCTAGCGGGGATTTAGCCGGAGATATAATTTATAAAACGGTTAAGTGCATGTGCATGTCCAGGCCAACAGTTTGATAGTCAAAAAACGGGAAAACCCTCCCCCCCCCACCAACCAAGGCCTTACGTCTGCCCCTAGGCCTAGGCCAGATGTAGCCTATGAATGTAGATATAGGCCTAGGCCTAGCTAGTCCTAGGCCCTATATTCAGGGGCGGATCCAGAAATGTCCAAAAGGGGGGCCGAAAGTTGGGCCGATTGAGACAACACTGTCGTAGGGGGTCCGGGGCATGGCCCCGCGAAATTTTTGTGTTCTAGACGCCCGAACATAACATTTGAGGCATTCTGGGCTATCATTTTTTTCTTTTTCTCTCTTTTTTTCTTCTTTTTTTCACCTCCCAAAAGGGGGGGGGGCCGGGGCCCCCCTAAATCCGCCCCTGATATTATCTTAAATTTAAGAAAACCGATAGGGTAAACCTAGTCTAGTGAGAGCCTGTATAGACTACTCAACTAGGCCTAGGCTAGCCTAGGCTGGTATTGCGCCGCCTCGGCACTTTCTAGCCCTCGTCTTTCCAGGCTTGAGGTCTAGACCTCCTAGCTAGACATGCTGGCCTAGGCCCACAAGCATCACATCAGCATACCCGAGACTCGTGTATACTGCTCTCGAATTACAATAGTAGTATTTTTATATTATATTAAGCCCTTCATTGTAGCATATATACCTCTTAATACTCTTATAGATGGCCTTTCATGAAGGTATGAATCCAAACTAGGCTACTCTTTCTTTATTATTATGCAATTTTGGGTGACTACAAACTCATTTTTTCCCCTTACCTTTACTATCCACCTAGGCGGCTTAGGCTGATTCCCTCAATGCACGTTTTCGTCGTCACATGCGAAATTCCTAAAACTTCGATGCGCATGCGCTCTTTGAAATTTATATGAAATAAACTAATTGCACAATTAGGGGTGTCATTTTTACATATTCAAGCAGTAAAATTTAATTATACAATCAAATAGCATCATATTTTGCAGTTAGATGTGTTAAATGATCAAAAACATTTATTAAAATAGGTAATACAAATATAATCCAGAATTAGTTAAATATCATTAAAAAAACAGTTTTCTCCCAACAACCCTTTTTTTAGGCAGTGGAGATATAAGGTACTAAATGTTCAAAAAGAAGTCTGCTCACCCCTGCTGGTCTGTTGATTGGTATAGCCTAATGAATATTATGTAAATCTTCTAAAGTTCATTGGATAGGAGTTATAGATTATGGAACATACAAGAACCCTGTGTAAAATGGCATTGAAACGTTAGAGGCAATGCTATATTTCACCGTATTGAACTTTTCACTCTACAGTTCATTTTTCTAGCATGATTCTTCCCTTTAATCCACTTCTAAGCTTATATATATATATATATATATATATACACTACTAACTCATAGGGTGAAAAATCCTTTGTTCATATTTCTCCATAACGTCGTTATAATTTCCCCTTAGCGACACTACTTTCGCCTTTATATATACATATATATATATATATATATATATATATATATATAAAACGTTGAAGCTTCAGATAGCTGAATTCGATAAACGACTAGCAACTAAGGTGGAGGAAGCTATAGACGATGTGACACAGTTGGAGGATAACATTGGTGAGGCATACGATTTTCGTTCCAAATTACTGCTCACGAAAATAAAAGCTGTGAAATTAGCAGAGCTTACACAAGCCACCTTATCCATAAATAACGAGGATGGTAGTGCTGCTGGGTCTAGCGCTGCAAATAATGATAATAATAATAATAATAATATTAACAGTGCCAGCGGATAATGGCGACTGGCCAGGAGAGTAATGATCAGTCTAAGCCTCAAGCAAGGTTGCTAAAGCTGGAAATAGCAAAGTTCTGCGGGGAAATATCCAAATGGCAAATATTTTTGGATAAATTTGAGGCAATTGTTGACAAGTCTAACATACCAACTGTAAACAAATTCACTTATCTGACATCACTACAGCAGGGTGATGCATTAGAGGCGATTCGTGGGCTTGCAAAGTGTGGGTAACTAGGGCTACGCTTGCCGGAGGCGCGGATTGATATAAAAGTTTTGAACATGTTATACGCCTCAACGTTTATAGTTACTTAAATGCACTAGATAATAGTGTGTGATTGAGATGATCCCTTGGATTGTAATTGCGGTATTCTTTCGATATATTAGCATTGTAGTTTTGGCTGTATTGTACATGCATACCTCATACTGTATTGATTGAGATATTATTTTAATTCTTTCCTAGTACTTGATGATTTAATGATACTTATTGTAATATGTTTTATGCTATTCGGTTGTTACAGGTAGCTGGGGTGTTTTTTTTTATTGCTGTTTAAATTTACTATGCTGTGTTAATGTTTTAAAGCTGATGAGAGCTCAGCTATTTAGTGGCTTCACTGTAAACGGTGGATGGAAATAAAGAACCGAGTCAGTGATCGTGGTATCCTGTAGCCTTTTATTGAATTCACATTTGGCGCTGCGAGTAGGGTCCACTGAGTACATAAGTCTCCAGTCAGCAAGAATAACACCCCAGCATGATCCGTCGAAGAAACAAACGAGCCAGAGGAGATGCTATGGTTGTAGAAGATATGGTTGTAGAGGAGAACAAAATTGACATGTTGGAGAGACAGCTACGGGAACTGCAACTCCCAAGAACGACATATGTTACACCGACCAGGAAACTTTTTTTCGGGTTCTCGGGTTCTCGGGATTTTCGGGTTCAAAAGGCGAGATGATAGTGAATGAATCTAAATCTGAAGAAGCTAAAGTAACGATGGAGGCAAGAAAGGTACAGCCAGCTGATGAAGTTGCTTTCTTAAAAGAACACTTGTATGGCAATGCAAGAAAAGAAATTATAAGTAGACCAGGTGTTATGACTTCTGGGAAAATAAAATCGATATTGAGAACAGTATTCGGGGAAGTGAACAGTTTACCTTCGCTGCAGCAGCGATTTTATAATTACATACAAGGGCCAAATGAAGATTTAGTTTCATTGTCATTGAAATTAGTCCGGATGATGGATGAGATCTGTAGATTAGATGCGTCATTTGCTCCTGTAAAAGAGAGTTCACTAAAGAGCCGGTTGGCCGAGGCTGCACGAGACCAAACTGTGAAAATAGAGCTGAGAAGAATTTTGACAGAGAAATCTAATTTTGACTTTTTCGAATACAGAGATCAAGCAATCCGCATACTTGGAAGTTCGAAGCCTCAAAGTACAGAAAGTCAGTGGCAGACAGGAGCAACTGTTCGTGAGATGTCTTAAAATGAAGATATGAGGACTCTGAAGGAACGACAAACTAGGTTAATGGAAATGCAGCAGGAGCAAATCGTACAAATAACAACAGAGATCCAGAACCTGAAGACTAAGGCAAAGCAGAATTATGAGGGTCGACCACGGAGAGATTTTGCTGGAAACTGTTTCAAGTGTGCTAAACCAGGTCATTGCAGCTAATTGCAACGCAATTACTACAACTACCAACCATTTAAACGCCAAGGGCTTCCCTCGTGTCAACCAGGGGGAGGCAAACCAAAGATTATAGACCGTTTGGTGGAAACATGCCCTACAGAATTTGTAAAGATTGGCAATGTGAAGTGCAAGGGACTTATTGACAGTGGGGCAGATGTATCTACAATCACTCAACGTTTTTACAATACTCATCTCTCTAAACAGCATCAGCTTCATGATGTTCATAAAATAATTAATATCCATTCATCACAAGATGGAGATATTCCATTTATAGGGACAGTGTTCTTGCCTGTGAGTACACTCGAGCACACATTTGAGGGAATTGGATTTTTGGTAGTAAAAGACCCAATAGACCAGATTACGCAGAAGCGTACAGAAGATGTTCCGTTAATAATGGGGTCAACTATACTCAGAGATGTCGGAGAGTTGATTACAGAGAAGTGTGGTCCAAAATACCTAGAGGTGAAAAGCCATGAGGGTTCATATGTTGCTAAGGCTGCACTGTTGTATCGAAGTCAAGAGTGTAGAATTGTTCGAGTTGCTGGACAGAGTGCAGTACTTTTACCAGCGTCTCTATCATTCAGGGATCCTGTGCACCAAGCAAGACTCCTCAGGCAATGCATGCATTAGTCGAGCGAATTACTGCGTGTAGAGCAGACTTACCAAGTGGTGTAGCAGTTGAAGCAGCTTTTGTGTCTGTTACAGAGAAAGGATCAGTTTCGGTACAGGTTGCGAACTTTGGTGACACTGACAAGTACCTTCAACCAAGGACCCAAATTGCCGTATTGAATGCAGCTAAGACAGTAAGTGAGGTGGCTTCTGGGGAAACGGCAGGTGAAATCATATCAAGAATGCAGATGAAGATAAAGTGCAATATGGTGACGGAATGGAAGAGACCAAGCACAGTTAAAGAACTTAGAGCTTTCCTCGGTTTAACTGGTTACTACAGGAAGTATGTTAAAGGTTATTCTAGCATAGCAACTCCATTGTGTGAACTCATCAGAGCAGATAATTTTAAATCAAGACAACCAATCAAAATTGACCATCTATGGGACAAGAAGCACGAAGAGGTATTTGAAACCCTTAAACAACGACTTGTATCACCACCACTTCTTGCATACACAAATTTCAAATTGCCATTCATTGTAGAGACGGACGCAAGCTTGCGAGGACTGGGTGCAGTGCTGTCACTGGTCCAGAATGAGAAAAAGGTTGTAATTGCCTAGTCTTAGACCGCATGAGAGAAATATGAACAACTACTAGTTTAAAGTTGGAATTGCTTGCACTGTATTTGGCCATGTGTGAAAAGTTTCGGGATCTGCTAATTGGTACAGAATTCCATGTGTTCACTGATAATAATCCTTTGAGTTACCTGCAAACATCAGCAAAGCTGGGTGCCATCGAAACGAGGTGGGCTGCAGAATTGTCACTGTTCAACTACAACATTAAATATAGAAGTGGCAAAAGTAATGACAATGCTGATGCTCTTAGTAGAATGCACCCTCTAGTGGAATCTATACAAGCGTATCGAGTGGTTGACACCGCAAGTACCACTCCAGTAGATGTCAGTGTTCGAAAAGAAGTTTTGCAACAAACACATCCAGAAATGTACAGATTAGTTGTTGTAAGATCAGCTACTGTATACCCAAGTTCTACATATACATTCCCATCTATAGATCCTGATGATATGAGATTAATGCAAAAGAACGATCCCGATATAAGGAGAGTTTTGCTATATTGGAAAGATAGAGTGGTTCCAACAAAAAAACAGTTTAAGAGAGAGAGACCCGAACCATTAAATTGTACCTCGATAATTGGAATCGATTAAAGGAAGATGAGAATGGATTCTAAAAAGAAAATGTAAGATCGATCAAGATATCATCCAACAGTTGTTGTTGCCGGCTTCATTAAGACAAACAGCGTTAGAGTTTGTACATGATAAGATGGGACACTAGCCAAGTGCCAAGACTTATTCCTTGTTGCAAAAGCGTTGTTTTTGGCCTGGTATGCACTTAGAAGTTGAAAAATATTGCCAGAGTTGCTCACGGTGTACTATCGCCAAAGCAGGAAGCGTGTCCGACCAACCTTAGGGTCATTGAAGGCAACACGTCACCAAGAAATTGTGTCAATGGATTTCACCGTACTTGAACCAGTGGAGGATTAGAAAACGTTTTGGTCTTGACCGACATTTTCACTAAGTTCACGCAGGCTATTCCCTGAAGGACCAAAAGGCAGCGACTGTGGCAAAGGCGTTGGTAGAACATTGTTTCGTAAGGTATGGAGCACCGGAAAGGATCAGCAGCGATCAAGGTCGAAATTTTGAGTCGCAAACGGTGAAGGAATTGTGCAAGATATATGGAGTCCAAAAGTCTAGAACAACCCCCTATCATCCAGAGGGAAACGGTCAATGCGAAAGGTTTAATCGCACAATGCACGACCGATTAAGGACTCTCCTTCCTGAACAGAAGAGAAGATGGCCATTTTATTTGCCAGAAATCGTGCATGCCTACAATTGTACACCACACTCTACCACCGGCTATACTTCATACTATCTGTTTTTTGGAAGGGAGCCTATTCTTCCTGTGGATCATTTAATTGGCTACCAAAAGTGTGACGAAGCAACAGTAGATGTCGACAAATGGGTGGATGAGCATAAACAACGTCTACACAAAGCCTTTGAAAATGCCAACAAGCAAACTGCATTACATGTAACCAAACGTAATGATGCTCTTAACATTAAAGCAACCAACTGTGAAATTGTGCCTGGCACAACGGTTCTACTCCGTAACAGAGTAAAAGGAAGAAACAAAATGCAAGATACCTGGAATATATAAAACGTTACGAAAACTGGATACTCCCGGTCACGTATATGATTTAACTGAGAAA